TTCAATAAAAAGAGAAAAAGAATAATTTACAGTATAACAGTAATTACAGTTAAATAAAAAGAATTAAAAAATTTAAAAATTATTTTTTTAATTAAAAAAGTAAATTCTTGATTCTATAAAAAGTAATGAAATTATGTTTTCAGAACTCTGTCAGAATATTTATAAATTTACTGTTAAAGAAATTTAATAATAATATTATAATCTTTACTGATTTAATAATTATTTACTCTTTGAATCTATCTTTACTCAAGATTTCATATTCTGAGTGAGTTATTAAGTTAAATAAATATCTACAGAATTAACTGTGTATTTTTATATCTAATTTTCTATATATATTTTCATTATATAATATATCATCTTAAAATCTAATTGTGTTATTAAGATATTATTGAAAATATTAATAGTAAAATAACAGGTGTTAAGTGTAAGCAGATGTTAAGTGATTAATTATATTAATGTAATTAATCATCTAATACTTGTTTTCATCTAATACTTATCTTTGTAAATCAATTACAATTAACTTCAAATATTTATATCTCAATGAATATTTATTTAAAGCTATTCTAAAAAACAGAATTATATTATATTAAATTTCTATGAGAAAATAATATATAATTATTAATTTATTAAGCTTTTTAAAATACTCTTTTAAAATAAAATACACAGTCTATATTTATAAATATACTTAGAAATATAAATTATTTTCATATAAAAATTAAATATCTTATAGATTATATATATTTTTAATAAAATATAAAATTTTATCTTGAAATTCTTATTTATTATTGATTTATTTAAATTTGTATATAAAATTTTATATTTTAAAATATTATTTTTGTAATAACTGTGTATTATTTATACTTTAAAATTGTAATTTAAATAAATTATTATATCAAATCATTAAACTATATTTATATTGAATAAATTACTTTTCAAAATTTAAAATTTCAAGAATTTTCAATATTTTACTTGTAATTTATAAAAAAAAATTATAATAAAAAATTAAAAAAATTCTTAAAAATTAAAATATAGAATTCTTATATAAAATAATTTAACATTTATTAAATTATTATATATTTATATAAGAATTATTATTTTCAATAATATATAATATATATTTCTTAATTTATAATAAAATATTATATATTTTATTTTACTGTATTTTATTTTCTAATTGAATCTATATTTTAATCAATTTTAACTATATTATAATAATTTTGAATTATATTATACTATAAGCCTTGATATTTATAGATTACAAATTAAAAAATTAAAATAATGAATATTTATTGAGATATTAACATTTAAAGTTGATTGTAATTGATTTACAAAGGCGAGCATTAGGTGGAAATGAGTGTTAGGTGATTGATTATGTTACACCTTTTACAAAAGCAGGTTGAAATCAATAAGTTTTGGCACCATGTTCAACTGGGGGATGATGACTGTCAGCATCGATGATGAACTCTAAATATATAGTTAATGAATAATTTTATTCTTTTATCTTTCTAAATTTCTTCATTGGGTTGTTGGTCGTTGGTCCACTGGCACTGCTACCGACTACTTTCCAAACACCATAAAAAGAATCAAATGAAGATAGTCAGAGAATTTGTAATTTAAGAAACTTTGATAAATATTCCTTGTACATGTACTTTAGTTTGTCATACGAAAGACAATTAAGGCGGAGGAAACAAAAACAGAAGAGAAAAAGAAGAAGGAAAGAAGAAGAGGAAGACGACGAAGAATGAAGAATGAATGCTCCCTATTTCCCTTATCACAAATGCACATGTTCGCTGAAAGAAAGTCAAGGACGAAAAGAGAAATGGGAAACATTGGTGCCAGAAACGTATATCGATCGGTACTATTTCCAACAAACAACGGAAAAATAAGACGACATTGAAAAAATGCAAAAACCATTGAAATAGCTAAAGCCAAACAGAAGAGCACGGTAGGATATTAACATATGAAGAAGAAGAAAACAAAAAGGAAAAATAAAATAAAAATAAAAATAAAAATAAAGAAAGACCCGCAAAAAAATTCAACATTGGGCAATCAGCAGGCAAGACAGGGAGGGAAGGAAAGGAGAGGGAACGTAAGGAAAATATATTAATATTACATAACGGTTAGGATTATGGAGAAAAGGGGAAGAAATAAGAGGGGAAAATAGACAAAGAAAACCGGCGGAGTAATAGGAATATCAGTTGGCGTTCGGCTGAGAGGACGAGACGAACGGCAAGGAAATGACATTGAGAAGGCCGAACAGAAGCCATTTTCTTCGGTTAACGAAAGGGAAAGGGCCCCTACATATACGAATGGAATGATGAAGAGAAGCCATCCATTGTCATCCTATATCCTCTAAAAAAGGAAACAAAAGTTCGTAGGTGAAAATGGAAGGCTACAGTACCGTACCTGGATGAGCGGTCATGGCCGTAAAATGTATTTCTCTTCTTCCTTCCTTTCTCTTTTCTTTTCTTTTCTTATTTATAGCACTAGCATGGTAACTAGGGACATAAAAGCCAATAACGAAAGCAAAATATTTGCGCCAATGCACCGACGCTATCCTAGAGGGCAAACTTTGCGTTTCGTGGAGGGGGAGAGGAGGTTCATTCTATCGTGGCAGACTGTGGAATTCGTTTTATGAGAGAGGAGAGGGTGAAAGAGAGGGGTATATAGTTGACCAACAAAAAGAAATGTTCTTGCGGGGGGTGGGGGGGGGGGTCCAAAGTAATGGGAAAAATTGGGAAACGTTAATCAGAAAACTCGGTGTCTAGAAAAAAAAGGAAAGGTTAGTAAATTATTATATATGAGTTGAGGGTAGAATACACAATTTTATTTTATGAAACAAATGAGACAGTAAAAAGCAAAATACATACTGCATGAGAAGATCTTCTAAGCTTGCAGAACTGCAATCTCGTCCACCGGGCAGTTGATGGAAAATATCCACTATCGTCGCGAAGACGTCACCATTTTTGTAAGCTAGTAAGGCGGGCGCAGTAACGTGTTCCATCTCTGCTATCTCATAGTGTAATTTAATGAATCGCGTAGTAGACTGTTTACGGGCGACGGTAGTTAAGCAGTCCTCCACAATGTTGCTCTCGGGAGACTAATAGCAACGGGGATTAGTTAAATTTTATATGCACAAGCGCTTTGGGCAAAAAAGAAAGACGTAACTTACTTCAGGATCGTAGATACAAACAACCACGACAGTGTCTGGGGTCACTTTCTCGATCGCGTCTAAGTATCCGTTCGCGTTAACTACCTCGACGGTTCCGTACCTCCGCTTGCTAGGACTGACACGTCTTTTGCTTTTGCGTTGTAGCTCTAGCATACGAGCTTCTCGCCATTGCCGCATAAACTGTTCGTCTTCGGTTTCGTCAGGTGGGGGTGATGCTTCCTTGGCTGGTCGCGTGTCAGACTCCTCTTTCGTCGAGTTGGAGTAGGAGGTATAGTCAAGGCCAGCAACGTTCATAAGCGTGCGACGGAATGGGCGTTTTTTCGCTCTTTCATATGACTGAGCATCCGCAATCACTCCTTTGGGTCCAGTGTTCGCTTCGAAGACGGTGGTAGGGAGATGGTAGCCTACGGACTTTGAAATCATGGTGTGGGAGGTATCGGTTTCAGTGTCGGAGTGCAGGTATGTCAGACTCTCCTCGTCATCCGACGGTGATAGGTTTGAATCGTTGTCCGAAGCAAGACAGTCTTCTGGATGACAGGAGACCTTCTCTTTCTGATTGAGGAGGCGGTCGACTTCGTCTTGGGCGGCGGACATTTTGAAGGACAAAGGTGCGGCAAGGCGGCGGGCGGCCCGTCACTTAAATAAAGAAATTAAATCTCAGTGTTTGGATTCTTGTAATCCAATCGGGCTGTAAACGGTGGGAAATGGTTATGTGACGAAGAGGAATTCGTTGTTGGTAGACTGTGGCCAGAGTTTTGTAGAGCAATCAGAGGAACGGAACAGGGGCAGGCAGGGACGGGGCACGGAGGACGACGCCAACAACACAGGCTGAAGACAAAAGCCTCTGGGAGACAACTCCTGTGTTCCTCTAGTGGGGCCGATCGTGTTTCAGCCTTGACGAAGGGACAGACAACCTTGGATTCTAATTTCTTGGGAGCGTTAATGCCGGCGCCGCATGTGGTAGGCGTTGGAATCTGCTAGTTAGTGGCCTTGGCGCATTGCACGCTGGCCTGGATGGCGGCAACGCGTGGTGCAAATCGTGCAATCGATGGGGTTCTGCGGAGCCGATTCGAGCGAGTGAGCGCCCAAGATAGTGCGGATTGCCCTGTTGTAGGCTGAATAACTGAACTGGCATCATGGCATGTGGTCAGTTTCTGCCTCTGGCCACTGTATTTTGGGGAGAACCGTTTTTACCCAGAACAAAGGACGGGCTTCAAGCCGCAATCACGCACTCACTCTTCTTTGGTGGTAGTTAGGCTAAGAGTTAACTAACTAGTTATAACTATGGGGAAGCTAGAACGCACCAAACCAGCGAAACTAACTACAAAACACACATTTAGTTGCTGGTGTTTGATGCTGTCTACATGGAAATGAGGCTGTTGAAAATGTGAAGTTATAAGTTAATAGTATTCCAAGGTTGTTTGTTCCGTTTGGGCAGACCCGTGATACTGTTGATACTGTCTGCGCAAATACAGTAGTATATTGATATCCACAAACTGCCACATCTCCCTTAAGTTAGTTAACATCCCATTCCATTATTGCATTATTGATACACAGTGTACAGGAAGATTCTCCCGAATACCAGCTACTCTACAGTTTTAGCAAGCCACTACTAAAGAAAGCTAACAATTGGCCAACAACACTTTCGGCCTCGGGTCCAAGTGACTGACCGCCCGAGATAGACAACGATGTATCATTTTTATGTCCATCTATCTAAAAGTTTTAAGCGTCGCAAAATAAGTTTCGACTAGCTTGGGGGGGCCCCCATGTGTTCTGGTTAGCCTGATGAGACACGAGGGGTGTCTGAGCAAAGGCTGAAACTAATGCAAAAGGGCTGAGAACAACGTGGACATCCGACGATCCCCCTGTGTTCCCTCCACTGACAGCAGGATGTCGACAACAGTTTTACGTTAACGACCGAGGAGTTTTTCCGTGATATCGCAAAAGCCCTGGACATATGAGAGCTATCGATAATAACAGTGGGTTCTAGGTAAGCTCATTCAAGCCGATCCTGACAGAAACTATCTGAATTGTCACAAGACTATTTTTGTATAAAATAAATAAATAAATAAATAAATAAAAATGAAATAACCCTACCTTGAGTAGAAGTAGGTCCATACATACACTATTTCATAGAGAATAAGTGTTGTTTAAGATAAACAAATGGTTGGTTTCTTTCGCGCAACACCTATCCCAACCCAACCTTGATTAGCACCAATCAAGGGAGCGAGCCCCTTCTGGAGGTTTCATCTCCGGTTATAGTAGCATATGTTAAGTGATATTGAGTGAATATTCAGCATCATAACGTGGCAGTTGCTTATCGAACTCTCAAACTTACATTATCGAGAACAATGTTTGCAAGGATCACAAAAATAACAGCCAAACCACCGACGTAACAAAGAGAACAACAGAATGTTGCAACCTCAACGAAGTCTCCGCAGGTTAACTTAAACCCCGACCCGCTCCTCCCACGTGGCAACCGGAGGCAATAATATCTTTGGTTAGCCCGCCCAGCCTTGACGCGGGAAGGTTGAACAGAGAAATGCCTAAAAGAGCACAAGGGCCGGCTTGTCATAAAATATGGCGTTAGCACTCGTTCCCCATGGTTATTCAACTAATATACTTCCTCGTCCTTCCCGCCTCGCGTTTGACAAGTCCGAAACCAAATTCTTTGTTCACCAGAGCAAATGGCCTGCATTAAATTCTGCGTGGCTATTTTTCCTCTCATGCAGAGGAGGAAGAAGTCTGACTTGCTCATAGAGAGACCCTTGATGGCAGCCTGCTTCGTCCAGTTTGTTTAATCCAGAAGCATCTTGAAGCCCAAGATGTAAAATTGATGATTAGGATGACTGCAGCTTACACCGTTGATTGTTAGGAATCATTTGATCATGGGCCCCCCCCTGCTGTGGTAATTTGATGTGCTCCTTGGGTACCTATACTTAGCGAGCATGCACTTTTTACACACGCGGTCAATCCATGTCTAGAACTGGTCTATGTCTACGAATTTGATTTTCCGCTAACTAGTGAGACTTCAAGCTTCGGTGTCATTCGACCGGCGGAAATCTCAGCAAGAACCGAAATCAAGCTATTATTCCTTCTGATGGGCCAAAATGGGTGATAGAAAGAAGTATCAAACTTGTTCAGAAACCAGTAGATACATGGATAAACGAGGAGGGGCTTGACTAAACACCCCTGCATCGTCTCTTGCACAGTCCCTCTCCTTACCTGCATCCCACATCCCACTTTGGATTTCACAGCGATATTTACCCAACAACGTTTGTATTACATCCACGCCAACTTGTTTATAAAAACTAACGAATCAGACCGTAGCACGGCAAGCACAACAAACATGTCAAAGCTTTCTAACTAATTACTCCCATCCCCACCCGGAGTATGGTTCGCTACTACAATCACCCAATTAAGTCCGGTACACATTTCTACCGCGTAAACTCCCCTTTCGTCTCCTTGAAGATCTATTCATATTCCGGCACAAATTGCATGTACATGTATGTACATGTACATCGCTGCAGGTGATCCGGACGCCTTTTTGGTATACGCAGCTTCTTTATCCCCTACGTATTTCTCCTGCAGGTCCGACGTATGGGGCACCGCTTGTTCAACTAGCAGCTGCGTTTGGCACGCCCTTTGCAATGAGATAAAAAAAGGCAGCTGCTTCGCCGACTGTCGAGCTAGCGGTGATAAGTCTGCCAATATGGGTGTGCTCTGTCAGATATTTGATTATAGTATGATAACTTATTTTTGCAGAGCCATTTCTCACAGAGCACGGGAATCAGACAGATCTGATAGAAAAAGCCACTAGAAAGAGGGGAGGAGCCCCTAGTTGATGCTAGAACGGACTAGACTAACCCGTGATTCTGGAGAATGAGGTTCTTCTTTTCCTCTAGAGCACGGGAGATGTTTTCTCCCTCTTCTTTCGCCAGGACAAGCCCACCAAAGCCTTCATAGACGGCGAGGTCTTCATAAAACATGCAGGAATCTGCGCCATTGTCAGTGTGAAATGTGGCTGGCCAAAATTCAAACTTGATAGAAGCCCATGACTTCAAAACTAGGCACGAAAGTGTACTCATCCTCCCGCCAAAGTGGAACGGATGTTTTTAGCGGAGGCGGATCGTTTGTGCTCATCAGAGGGCTTTGATGGTAAGCAGTACCTTGAATGCTTCAGGACCCATGAGACACAGCAAATTAAACAGCAACCCCATCACATACATGTCCACAAACGACATGACGTTGGCGATTGAAGATTGGAAAATTTCGAAAGGAAAAAAGCTATCAGATCCACAACCCACCTTGATTCAACATTTATGCCCTTGCCAAAGGTTGACCAGGCCCTACTGTAGGGCGAATGCATGTGACATACCGCGTTTAGGTCCGGGCGTGCCTGGTGGATCGAGGAATGGATAATGAGCCCTGCCGTGTTGACCTTGTGCTCTGTTAGTGTGGGCGGAGTTCGCTCATGATATCACCAGTTTACGGTCCGAAACGGTGATGCCGCCGAAGTGTTTGGCGAACGGATCTATGGTTATTGTTATACGCGGCGCGCGGAGGGCCGGCAATGTCAGTAATAGGATGTTCCTCCGTCGATTCAGGACTCTGGCAATCCGGATTTACGGGATCTGTGGAATGAAGCCGTCAGATTAGACTGTTTATATGCATGGATTTGATAACGGAGGAAGGGTTTAACAGGAGGGATGTATCCTTCATTCATTTTGAACCCCGAGCAATTTCGATATCTACTGACGACACAAAGAAAAAGCCGGAAAATGGATAAATATAGAACGAAAGTATGACAGCAAAAAAAAAAAAAAAAAAAAAAAAAAAACATAATAAGTAAAACAGAGATTTCATCCTCTAAGCTAAAGGCCTG